TTAATGAGCAGCTCAAAGGAAGCCATTTACAGTGCACTACAGCAAGTACTTGTATTGGGTGTACAAATCCCAAGAATTATGCTGCATATTCTTGAACACCATCTATCACTTTATCTATTAAGTAGCTATTTACATATATAAAACATTCTTGTAACATCCCATGTTTCACTGTGGCCCACTGGATGCTCTAGTCATTTGGATTGTATCTAAACCGCCACACATACTTGAAGTTTTGTCTTTTCATCTTTTAGACCTGATCCTGGCATGCTTTGACACCCTCAAATTCTGTTTACTTCAATGGGATTGAGTGCTATGTATTTTGCAGGGTCAGACATTTATGGAATCCTCCAGAAAATTTAAGATCATTCATGTAAGGAATGATGAAGTTCCAAAGCTTACATAGCAAGTCCTCATGGTTACAAACAAATCCCTGGACACATGTCACAAGTGTGACCAATGCAGTGATATTTTCCTGACTCTAAAGGAAGCCTTTAGAGAGGGAAAACAGAAGCCACTAAAACCAAGCAAAAAACCATCTTGACCCATACTAGCAATCACAGCAGACCCAGCCATTGCTCCTGCAAAAAAGAAGGGGGCTATGACTACTAAGCTACCCTCTGCCAGGTTGTTGACATATAGGTATATATACCTTTGACTTCACTCATCTTAATCCAGACCTACAGAATAAGTTTTATTACAAACTGCAGTACATGGGATCCAAAAAGCCCCAACACTGTTAAAAACAGCATAAAAAACTGTATCCCACACATATTCAGTTCAAATTGTAGTTTAATTCAGTCTATTTCCCAAAATAACCACTCAAGGACCAATCCTACAAGCTATTACCAAATCCTGCTACAACTTACCATCCCCTGCCTGACAGACATCCTCTTCTCTTCACTTATTGACATCTTTCATAGAGGGGGAGGAAAAGGCAGGCTTTTCTTCTGCACTGCTGTCTCTGCCCCCTCCTGAATATCTCAGCAGTAAAGCCACCCAACTGTGGTCCTTCCCCAAGAAAAGGGGTTAACTGTTTTCCTGCCAGCCCAGGGATGGAGTCTGTACACTCTGTCACAAAGCAAATCATGACTTTTTAATTATAACTACAGCAAATATCTTTAACTGAATTAGACTAACAATAGTAGCAACAATAAGAAAACAAAATAACAACAGAAATTAATCAGGCTAGCACTGTGAGCGGGTCCTTATTTATAAGCTACATCCAGCCCATTTCGGTCTTAGATTCAGTCTCCAACTTTAATTCCAGCTGCAACTGTGTTCAGTCTGTTGGGCTGAAATCCTGCAACATGCTGTGTGTGACAGAACCCTGTTAAAGTAAATGAGATTCTGTGCAGGCTCAGGGGTCCACTTGCATACAACAAATTGCAGGATCATGACTTTGGACTCTCTCCGGAACTTAAATTGCCACATTCAGTCATCACAATTCTTAGAGCTCCATACACCACATTCTTGTTTGTCTCCAGAAGAAATGTCTCCACTGTGATTTTACAGTGAGATAACTACTAATTTTTAGTTATCTCACTGTAAGAAAAACACCTTTTTGGTAGTGAAGACAAAGCCTTATGCTCATCCTGACTTTAGGTTAACTCCTCAGATATAATATATTTGGCAACCAGGAAAGCAATGGCTTTACTCACTCTTATTGGAACAGCAACATATCAATGATACAGTTAGAATATCTTCTCCATCATGGCATCCTGAAAACTCCTTAAATCTATGAGGTCCTGAGGATAGATAAGCAAACTGGATTATTTTTTCAGATGGGAGACAGAGAAAGTTCTGACCTCTGTCTGGAGGAGGTAAAGGATGGATCAGGATAGAGCATAATAATTATTATTCCTCCTAATATTCTTACAGCTAGGCCAAAGATCAGGTCTAGACATGTTATTCCAGGTGCGTGGGTGGGCATGAAGATCCCCAGAAGAATCTCATGATTGTCATGCTAGACATGAGATCCTGAGAAGGCGATTCAGAGGGGTTATGGCCTGCATATTGTAATGTCTCAGAATGGTGGTTTATATGTCTGTAAGGTATATTATCCATGCGATGCTTGGTGGTTTAGCTTTCTGACTCTTATGCACATTATAGAATCTTAGATGGTAAGACTGGGGGCGGGGGGGAATAGGGACATCTAATTCAGACATTCTCCAACTGGGACCTGTTGCCCCCATGGGACCTGAACATATTTTCTGTGGCATTCACAAAATGCATGGATTTTCTTTCAACTATCAGCAAAACAGATTAATATTTTCAATGATTAACAAAATAGCAAATGCATTTGATGAGAGGTGGGTTGTTATGAGGTTTTTCAAATTTCAGAACAATGATTTTCAGATTCAAAAGTTTTAAGGATTCCCTGTTCTTGTCAAAACCTCAGAGAGAGTCACTCATCCTAATCCCTTTTAATTGCACACCGAATGTATTGTGCGCCTTCATATCCATGGACTTGGAAGTATAATGTGTGGGCTGACAGGATGATCTCTTCTCGGTTTAGTTTGGTGAAATTAAAATAAATAATCATCTGCTCTCACAAACTTAATGATGCTATTGTGCTTTTCTGGTGCAGGAGCTGAGAGAGCATATAGTCATATAAACAAAACTACAACAGATAATAATGAGGAAGGATGGTGTTAGGGTTAAGATGCTGAACTGAGACTGGGAGATTTCAATTCAATTCCAAGCTTTGTTACTTTGGGCAAGTCACTTAATCCCTCTGTGATTCAGTTCCCCGTCTATGAAATGGAGATAATAATTCTTCCATCTTCTTTTCTTCCACCTTTTCCCTGTCTTGTCTATTTAGATTATAAACAGTTTGAAACAGGAACTACTGTCTCTTCCTATGTGTATGTAAAACATTGGGACCTCCCCAACATTGGTTGAGGACTCTAGTTGCTGCTATAATAGAAAAAAATAATAAATAAGTAATGATACTAGAGCAAATGTGGACCAGACAATATTGTCCAGCTGATGGCTCGTAACATGAATTCCTGTGTCCGGTAACGGAAAAACAAGTTAAGGTAATATATTTTATTAGACCAATGTTGGTGAAAGAGACAAGCTTTCCAGCCACACAGAGTTCTCTTTCAGCGCTGGGTACCACACTCAGGTACCACTGTTATGCTCTGGTGCCCAGAACTTGCAAGAGGCTACCCCCACCTTGGGAGTGGCAAGGGGAGCTGGTGTTATTAATAGGGATGTCAATTAATCACAGTTAACTCAGGCGATTAACTCAAATACATTAATTGCGATTAAAAAATCGTGATTAATCTCACTTATAACAATAGAATACCAATTGAAATTTATTAAATATTTTTGGATGTTTTTCTACATTTTCAATATTGATTTCAATTACAACATAGAATACAAAGTGCACTGTGCTCACTTTATATTTTTATTTTTGATTACAAATATATGCACTGTAAAAATGATAAAAGAAATAGCATTTTTCAATTCACCTCATACAAGTACTGAAGTGCAATCTCTTTATCATGAAAGTGTAACTTACAAATGCTGATGTTTTTTGGCTACATAACTGCACTCAAAACCAAAACAGTATAAACAAAGACAAACAAGTTTGTTTACATTGATGGGAGATACTGCTGCCTGCTTCTTATTTACAATGTCACCTGAAAGTGAGAATAGGCGTTCACATGGCACTTTTGTAGCCGGCTTGGCAAGGTATGTATGTGCCAGACATGCTAAACATTCGTATACCCCTTCTGTGCTTCAGCCACCAGAGGACATGTTTCCATGCTGATGATACTCGTTAAAAAAATAATGTGTCAATTAAATTTGTGACTGTACTCCTTGGGGGGAGAATTGTATGTCTCCTGCTCTGTTGTACCCGCATTCTGCATATATTTCATGTTATAGCAATCTTGGATGATGTCCCAGCACATGTTCATTTTAAGAACACTTTCACAGCAGATTTGACAAAATGCAAAGAAGGTACCAATGTAAGATTTCTAAAGATAGCTACGGCCCTCGACCCAAGGTTTAAGAACCTGAAGTGCCTTCCAAAATCTGATCGGGACGGGGTGTGGAGCATGCTTTCAGAAGTCTTAAAAGAGCAATACTCAAATGCAGAAACTACAGAACCCGAAACACCAAAAAAGAAAATCAACCTTCTGCTGGTGGCATGTGACTCAGATGATGAAAATGAGCACGCGTCAGTCCGCATGGCTTTGGATCGTTATCAAGCAGAACCCATCATCAGCATGGACGCATGTCCAAGAATGGTGGTTGAAGCATGAAGGGACATATGAATCTTTAGCGCATCTGGCATCTAAATATCTTGCAATGCCAGATACAACAGTGCCATGCAAACACCTGTTCTCACTTTCAGGTGACATTGTAAACAAGAAGCAGGCAGCATTATCTCCTGCAAATTGTAACCAACCTTGTTTGTCTGAGTGATTGGCTGACCAAGAAGTAGGACTGAGTGGACCTGTAGGCTCTAAAGCTTTACATTGTTTTATTTTTGAATGCAGTTTTTTATACATAATTCTACATTTGTAAGTTCAACTTTCATGATAAAGAGATTGCACTACAGTACTTGTACGAGGTGCATTGAAAAATACAATTTTTTTGTTTTTTTACAGGGCAAATATTTGTAATAAAAATAAATATAAAGTAAGCACTGTACACTTTGTATTCTGTGTTGTAATTGAAATTAATATACTTGAAAATGTAGTATACATCCAAAAATATTTAAAATAAATGGTAGTCTATTATTAACAGCGTGATTAATTGCACTTAATGTGTTTAATCCTGCGATTAATCGCGATTAATTTTTTTAATCGCTTGACAGCCCTAGTTATTAACCAAATAACCCTCCTTGACTCGCCTTCCCCGTCTCCACGCAGCAGGGGGCGCTGCGGGCCCCTATCTCACAGCCTCCCTCCCCCCACCACCTTGTTTTGCCTGCTGGGCGGGCGGGCCCCACGCGCGCCTGCGCAGACAGGCGGAGGCTGAAGAGCCCGAGTGCGGAGGTGGTGGGGGTTGTAGCGGTTCCGTTTTGCTGACGGCCCCGGGCTCAGCTGCTGGGCCAAGATGCCGGCCGTGTCGAAGGGAGACGGGATGCGGGGCCTGGCGGTCTTCATCTCCGACATCAGGAACTGTGAGTGCGGCCGCGGGGCCGTGCTGGGGACGGGGGGGAGTCGCGCTTGAGACGGGGGTAGCGCGGGGGCCGCCCCGGGAGGGGGCCCGATCCGGGGGAGCGGCTGCTGGGGGAGCAGGGGCTGCTGGGGGGCGGCTGTGCTGACGTGGGGAGGCCGATTGCAGCGGGGGTTATGCTGGGAGGGGCAGGGTTTGTATGGGGAAGAGGACTGTGTTCCCTTCCGTTAAATGGGGTGTCTTTGGGAGCCTGTACAGTCAGGGGGCAAACTAGTCTGTATGGGTGGGCTTGGACTCGGGGTTTCTGTGATGGTGATGTCTCTATGTGAGTGGGTTTCTGGCCTGTCCTGCTGTCCCCTCCACGCATGCTTGTTTTGAGAGCTCCAAGCGCTGCGGCGCCCTGGGGCTTTTTTCTTATTGACTTGTGGTGAGGGTGACAGTCTCATTGCATGACGGCTCCTACCTAGTTCCTGGTTGTGTGGGTAAAACGTGGATTGGTGTGGGGGTTATTCCAAGTCTTTAGTTGTCATTTTAGCCAATGCAAAGGAGTGCAGTGTGGGTTCAGCTCTGTGCTGCTATTCTTGTTCCAGAGCAAAGGTTGTGGTAGTGGAACTGAACTCTGTCTTTAATTTGGTTTAAACAGGTACAGCACCCCCCTCATCCCTCAACCATTCTCCGTGGACACACTTAAATCTACTTTACAATAGGGTTATATCAATTTAGCTTAATTCAGGATGTTACTGAACTAAGCGAAATCAATGTCAGTTGTAGGCCACTTCAATTTTGCCCACACAGGGTGTTTGTGCCAGTCTAAATTGTTTTAAAAAAATCTGTTAGTTAGACAAGTGTAACATCTGCAGACAGAGCTTTTGTCCCTGATCTTTGAGAAGACCAAAGGTGAGGTGAAAAGAGTCATGAAAAGAAAACTGTGTGGCTGAGGGTGATGGCAAGGGAGGGGTTGTGTGTGTGTCAGAGAGAGGCAAACACACATACTCTGCTGTGTCTGATAAAGGGAAAAGGTGGGGGAGGAGGGGAGCATGTTAGAGAGAAGCCTGAATTCTTGGAGTTCTTTGTGTGACCTTGGGAATTGGATTAATATTAAGCACAATGGTAACTCTTCTTAAAACGTTTGCAACCAAACACTGCAAGTTCATGAGAACTCCTGAGTACAGAATTAGTCATTGTTGATCAAATGTCACTCAGATTTTCAATGTGTTAAATAAACAAAACTAACACTAAAGTGCTAACTTAGGTAGAACTCTTATAAGAAATTGCCTGACAGTGTCACTTTAATATTCCTCCATGATACTGATGAACTAATGGGATCATTGAAACACTTTTTCATTCTTTGAGTATGTCTAATTCGCTTGGATATGGGATTGTGGCTTGTGCTACATATATACAGACTAGATGAGAGGCAATATGATTTTTCACAATCAGAACTGCAGAAAATGAAAATTCCATGGCCGGAAGAAATTCAACTTTGCTTGCAGTTGAAGATGACTAGAACTCTAGGAATCCATGATAACTGAAAAGCTGGTGCCCATTTCTGCAGCTGTAATGATTACCTTAGTGGTCCATATTGATAAGATGAATCTAAAATACTGACCTGGCATTCTATAGTTTTCCTGCCTGGACACAGCATAAAGAAAAACCCATACGTTTTGCATGATGAAGACAAAATGCAAGCAGTGGTAATGGAGGCAGAGGTAGGGGTGGAAGAAGTGACTTAGTTGGAGTGTGGAAAAAGGTAGAAATGGGGGCAACATGGTCTTCAAGTAATTTTAGATGTATCTATTATATAAACAAGGCAAGAAGCAACCTATTGTATGGTGGTGACATTTAGGATCTCTAGCCTGCAAATGGAGAAGAAAGATGGTCCAGTGGCTAGGGCACTAGCCTGGGACTTGGGAGATCCAGGTTCAATCTCTGCCACAGACTTCCTGTGTGACATGGGCAAATCATGTAATCTATCTGCTTCCATTTCCCATCTGTAAAATGGGGTTAATAGCACTTCCCTACCTTACAGGGTATTATGAAAATAAACAGACTGATTGACCATGGTGCACTCAGATACTGTGGCAGTGGATGTTAGGCAACTAGGAGAGAGATATCTAAGATGAGCCATAAGCAGATTTTCTTATTTTTTCATTTGGTGGGCCCAACTGTATATTAAAGATTTCCTGGTGAAATGCAGAGTACTATGTTAATTCTGGGAATTTGGTGACATTTAACATCAAATATAACTGCTATCATTCTTAATACTGCAACCATTGATTGTTTTCAAGTGGTTGTCCAATAGTGCTGCTATTCTCTTCTTCATAAAGATTGGTTATGATAGTTCACACTCTGAGAACATGTAACATGTTCCTATTATCTGGGCTGAATTAATGGACCGAAAGAAAAATCAGGTAGGTGATAATGGAACCCAGAACAGATGAAACATACAAGAGAAAATTAATGGTCTCACCAGTTTTTCCATAAAAGCTAATTTGGGCTCTTGATTTTAGCCCTGTTAGTTTTGCACAGGGACTTGAGTTTGGAGGATATATCACATAGTAATAAGCTGGAGAAACTTAAAACGTGTAAGTGTCTTGTAATATTGTGAATCAAGTCTAGGCTCTGTGTGCCAAGACATTGCTAGGACGCTAATAGGCAGACATCCTGAATGTCATCAGCCTTAGAAGGACCCAGCTGAAGAGAAATAAAAAGGCCTTGCTTGCGTTTGCTGCATGAACTAGGTTGGCAAAATGTAATTTTGTAATAAAATTAATAAAATATTCACCCTCTCATTCTTCAGACAAGTTTTTTTTCTTACTTTACAGATACTGCTATAAAATGAAAATAATTGAACTCATTGTTTATATCTAGTGACTTTCTATCACAATTTTCTCTAGTATATCCACTATCTGCCTCTTAGACATTGTTTTCCTCAGTTCTTAATATAGAACCCTGTATTATCTTGTTTGCTACTACTAAGCAAAATGTAATACAGAATTAAGTGCATAATGAAAATGAAGAATGCCTTGACAACTAAAGCAGAGCAGTAATGATCACTTTAAGTATTTTTAAGATGTCACTTACCACCGTTCAATAAAATAGAAGTTGATCCAATAAAAGATATTACCTCACCCACCTTGTCTATTACTTATTGGTGTCAGTTTCAGTAATGTTTACAAAGAGTTGTCCATAGTGGACTTTGTTCTTCACTTCTCTGGGGTTTCCCAGCTTTGCATACTTTTTCTTTTCTTGTAATCCTCATCTTTGTGGCTATGACTGTAAAAAAGTGGCTTAGTAACATGTTATGAAAACAGCAAAACTCAGGTTCAGCCTTGTTTTCTGGAAGGCAGTTCTACTGAGGTGGAGAGGCAGACTGGATTGAGTACTTTTCTCTGGATATTGTAAACGTCAATATGAGAAATGCTTGCATTGTTCCTTAGGAGTGCAGCTGTGTTTGGTTGCGGATGAAACTGGTTGTGAATTAAACTCTGTAGTTAGGCCCTGTCTATGGAGGGCCTTAAAAATTAAAACCAGGGCTTTGAATTCCTGGTGGAAGTGAACTGGGAATGTGTTGTTGCGGCACAACACCATCGTAATATTTTTTCATGGGCCTTTCTTGTTAAGGACAGTAAAGTCTGTGTAAGATGGATTTTACATTGCCTACACACTCATCTACAAACACGGTGAATTATAATAATCCAATCCAGAGGTGACTTGCACAAACCAGTATGGTCAGAATTTCATCCTACAGGAAAGAACATAATTTCATAGGAACTGGAGATAGGAGGGTTTTCTCACCACTGTTTCTGCCTGGATATCCATAATTAATTATGAGTCCAGTAGGATCTTAGGGACTTGTGCTGTATTAACAAATATAGATCAAATGCTGTGGTGGAAGTGGCATTGTCTTGTAGTTTTTTCAGCATGCATTTTCCCTTTTCAGTATTGTGAGTTCTGTCTTGTTTACGTTCAGTTTAAGTCAGCTCTTTTTCATTCAGGTGCTGATCTCTTAAAAGCATCAGTGTCTTCAAGGGCAGTGATTTCTTCTGGTAAGAAGTTGAGATAAAGCTGATGTTATGAGCATGTAGTTGGCAATGGAATTTGTGCCATTTTGTAATCCCTGCCAGTAGTCAGAGTATGCTAAAATGTCACATCTTAAATTTAAGCCTGATTGAAGGGTATAGGATGTCAGTGAATGTTAATGTTGGAATTTGGTTGAGTATTCTTGTGAAAAGGAGATTGGAAAGAGGTGGAAGCTGAAGAGACTGTCCTTCATTGTGCCTAGTTTCATGAGCCCTTTACTGACTATGGCATGTTTAGAGAGCTTTAAATGTTGTCAGTAGGCTCATTTACTTTTTGGGTAAAATTTTCAAAAATGCCTAAGTAATGTAACATATTTTTTAAAGAACAAGGATCTGGTTTTGCAAATAGTGACACAGGCATTACTTAAACTTTCCAGTACTTCCTGTACATGATTGGGAAACTGGAGGCTGCTGCCCTCTGTTCTAGTTTGAATCTTCTGACTTCTGGAATTGGTTCTGTACTTAGGGAGGAGGAGAGGGGGGAATCTGTACACCAAATACAACTAATTCTACTTAAATGAAAGGCTAAATATCTGTCACGCTTATTATCTTGTGCATAAAGCCCACTGGCATTCTGGGTTTCAAACTAAATTTCTTGGACTTGCATTTTTAAGTGTAGATATTTTTGTTAATACAATTTATATTCAGGTGGAAAGGTTGCAAGCAAATAAATTAAGTGGTTGTCGAAACATTGCTTTTGTAACTGATTCCTTCCCTGTTATCACAAATAACATTACTTGGATTAAGTGTGTTTGATTTTTATTTGTTAGTAGTTGCAACTCCTGGATGATGGAGAATGGAGGATTGGCTGATTTTGCAGGTGCCATCACTAGCAGTTGAAGAAGGGAGGCTGCCAGTCTCGGGGGCCTCATAGCATTTCACAGCTAGACACTTGAGTTAACTCAAGTGCACAGACCAATTA